AGCGCCCATGGGAAAAACTCGAAAGTGCCAGATGCTTCAACAGAATATCTTCTTCATCTAATTTAATAAATCCTTACGCTTTTTCTGAACTCTTTGCCGTCTAAGGGACTCCTGAATTATGGACTTTCGATTGTACACAGAATTAAAGTTTTAAGCTAGCCAAGTCTAATTACACATGTATTTGAAACTGCAACTGCATCAAACGAGTGTTCCAACTTCAGCTGCTAACTCACACAAAATTCTCAGCTACAGGAACTAGCAGAAAAATTAGAGCATTTGAAGTTGATAATGAAAGCTGAAGGATACACTGTCAATTGGGGCACAGCCAGACGGCGTTTTTGCTTAAAAAATGGGCCCAAACAAGATTAGAATGATACCGAGAAAGGTGCTTACCGGCACACTATGTGATGCAATTCATGAAAAATTTTCAGAAAGTCTGCAACGGACCAAGACGCGTCGACTAACACTTCAAACCACTCTTTAAAAAAGCCTTTGGATTATTTTTGGCTTAAATTTCCTCCCATAGCATATTTAATATACACTATGGCAGCTAATCAACTGCTGATTTCTGATTGTTCATCCGAGTGACGACAGGAAAATTCGATTGACTTTTCTCCTTTGCTATTTCTGCAGATATCTTTGAATACAGTGAACAGGTTTTCGTTTGATTTCAGGATGACGGACGTTGGGAGGCCGGCCAGTGATCATGAATTTGGAAGTGCGTTAGCAGATGCAAGCCTGGTAGTGCCTGGCCTATTTCTGCAAAATCACTGAGTACTTCCTAGTGACGCTGTTCATTTAAATCTCAGTGACCATTTTGAGGTTATCAGATTTCTCAATCGATTGCCCTAAATGACAAGTTATATAATTCCTACAATGTCAAAACGCCCGAAATAAAGCAATTATAAAAAACTTTCTCAGACCGCCCTTTTTAATAACAACGACGGGTTGGGTCATATTTTTGGACTCATTCGAACCTGAAACCTAACTGCCACTAATGACAATTTCAGCCTACTTAAGTACATACAGATTCTTTCCTACGATTATAAATGCACTAGAGCGACCACAAAAATACTAACCTAGTTCTCAAACGCCTAAAAATTCGCCTGTCCCGTTTCTGAACCATGCGTTAGGAGAAAACAGAACGCACATAATGTATCTTGCAATACGCTGGAAAGTTGAAACATTTTTCTCCGGTACGAAGTTGAAGCAAGTCTGCATTACCATAGACCATGACCTGGTCCGATCTAATTTCTTAGCCGTACTTGCAGTAGACAAGCCCCAGCTCAACCCCAAGCATTAACCCCCTGACCTTAAAGTCTAACACTTAGCCCCAACCCCTAAACTTAGCCCTGAACCCTGACCGCTAACCCTAAGCCCAACCCCTAACCCCGACCTCTAACTCCTAACCCTCCTCTAACACTCAGCCCTGACATGTAGGGTTACGAAATAAGATCTTGCCCATGATCTTGCTGTATTTTATTGATTTTCTGCACGGATTTAAACTGCTGCATTCTATTCACACGTTATTTATGGTATGAAGTGACAGGAGGCGGCTGATGAGCCGTCGCGCAATTTGTTGGTACCGATATGCTCCACAATCAAAATCGTCACTTGAAAGTGGGCTTCTTCGTGGTTACGAATGCGATATTTGCATATGCATGGAACTTACGAGTAGTTTGCGACAAAAGATTATGTGGAGGTGTAGTCACTAAATTTTAGGGCATTAAATCAAACAGATTTCAAATCAGAATTTTTAAAGAAGAAAAACCTTCCTTGGGTGCTAAATGACTTATTCATTCATATCTTGCAACGCGGTCTAAAAAGTCAATTTTCCGGTCAACGACCGTTGTTGTGGTGAACCTTTTTCGGTGCCATTAGTGCTCCCTGACAGAGAAACATGCACGGATGTGACACTATAGTCTAGAAAAGTTCTTAAGATAGAGAATCGTCTGGTTCTTGAGGTACGGTTATTTTACACTCAAAGTTTGTAACTTTTCCGTTAATACATTATTCTTTGCCGTATAAAATCCAGGTGCGGTTCTAACTTTGAGTTGTTATACGCGTTACTCTGGGATACCATTACAGTGCGCAACAAGAACCTCGTGTCGACCGCACTGAACATTTTTTATGCGGACGCCTTCCAAGGGACAGATAGCCTCGCATAAAATGCTCGAAAAAGACGAATCAGGCCAACTTTGTCAGGGAGAAGTCAAAACCTCTGACGCTCATGCCGACTCTGGTAAGTTAGATTCTGGCAGCTGTTGCAGACGGAGAAATAATGCGGTTTTAATACGTGTAACAGGGGCTCGCTAGAGATGAAGTTCAGGTCGAGAGTAACGTAGATTCGGGAGAGGATGATGTGAAATCTTTAGAGCGGACCGCGTACGTAGTTCAGCGATTAAAAGAATGCGCCGTGAAAGATGGATGCCTAGAAGAAAGTGGCCGATGTATGCAAACGCGTAGTGAGGCACCTAGAGCCAACACGATGAATCCAGTAATGGCCAGTTTAGAACTGCCTAAAGTGGGGTTGAGTTATTTTGATTGTAATCCTGCACACCGTGTATGTTGAGAGCCGGACAAAGACTCTTGTCGAGGAGATGCGAGAGCCGTGAGTGAAGTGTGTGTTGTGTTGGCTTCTTAATTGCTATACAAGAGAGCACGAGAGGTACTCGGAGACTTGTTCGGCCAACCGCACATTTTCGGATGATTCCTTCTCGACACGATAGCATATACATACGCCCAAGTCACTTTTTGACTTTTGTGTTAAAATGGCAGGTTATCAAATCGCACTCACAAAAATGCATTGTATGCCTGATCTACACTCCCTGAGTGCCTTGAGTCTGATAGTGCGTTCGTTACCTTACACGATGCAAAACCAATGGGCTGAGGTAAACTACTGGATATCGACGAGGGATACCGACCCCAACTTTACAGATCTCACGGAGTTTATGGCCACGCATTCAAAAATAACCAAAAGTTGGTTTCGAGAGCTTGCACGGGAGACAGAAGCAGGTCATCACCGAATTCTAACGCCAAGCGCCAAAGGCATGAAGGTTCTTTCACTTTATTAGCCGTTTCTGGTGCCGCGTGATTTTCACAGTCTTATTTCATATGTTGGCAAGCACAGAGAGTAGCATGGTGCTCGTGTCTACTTTTCACGAATGTTACAGATAGGTAGGATTGTGTGCGGGAACACAAAGTGTGTTTTGTTTTTCACAATAATACGCATTTCGCTAAGGTGTGTAGGTCCGGAGAACGTTGTGGTCAGTCCGGCTGCATAAAACGTCATCATATGTTTTTGCATGTAATGTTATCAGAAAACGATCAGCGAACATTGCTAGATGAAGGACTTAGTACCCTGAGTAGAATTGTGTATGTACCATCACGACTCGGAGCTATTCCCGTCGAGTTAGTAACTGGAGCTGGAAACGCGGAAACTAACGCATTTTCAGGCGGAGACTCGGACGTTACTCTGATTAAATGAGGGCTACGCTTCGCAATAGAGTCTTCACAAAGCCAATGGTCATGACAATAAACACCTTAGGCGGCTAAATCGAATGCAACACGGACGCCAGAGGTTTAGGAATGCTACCCACGAACGAAATTGAGTCAGTCGAAGTTTAAAGGATTTTGGTGGTTTAGGACTTGCCACTGCGCGCAGAACCGTCGAATAAGAAAGTAAGATCTTCGTGGCCGCACCTGAGCGGTATAGTGTTCTACGAGCTCACTGACCGCGAGGTTGGTATACTCATTACAAATGACATTTTGGAGGTCCATTGAGCATTTGACCAACGTTTGGGTGGCAAAAAGAAGCCGTTCGCAGTGAAAATATTACTGGGATGGATGCTGCTTCGATCTTCACGTGACAGAATAAAACAGAACGTTGTCTGTCACTGCATCGTCGATCAGGAAAAAAATCGACGGACAAGGTTTAAAAAGCCGTACGACTGGTAGTACTAACACGCTTCGGAAGCGACTGCGAGTTACCCATTGGAGGATAAGTGAGCACTGGCTACTGCGCGATCTTCCGTTACGCACATAAAAAGACATTGTCAGCTGCCACTCCCTTGGCGAAACGATGCGCTGAACCTACCGGACAACGTGCAGTTGGCGCGTAAACGACAAATTTATTTCAACAGTAGACTGGGTCAAGAGCCTGAAATATTTCGAAAATTTGAGTAAACAACGGGACACAACGGGACGACTGAGTTCCGTAGAAAACGATCGGTGAGCACCCCTCACCATAGTAAACATTCTGTTTCTGTATGAAAAAGGGATACATCAAGCGAGTTGACGGCAGCCAAACGTTTCCAGTTCTAAGACACTGGCACTTACATACCTCACAATCCTGTTATTAAACCTTAGGACTCAGAAAAATCCGTGTTGTATTTGACTGTGATGCAACGTGCCAGGGCGTGTGTCTAAATTACCGTCTGCATCAGGGACATGGGGTGTAGGGGTGTGCGGCGATGGGTTTACGAGCTGGTCGCAGTAGGTCGCTCAATTGCTTGCATGTGCAGACTACGCCTAGCGTCCATTTCCGACACCCAACTCTCACATGTGGCTCCCCGAATCTGGGCTCTGTCAAGCGGCTAAACCCCGGTAACCGCCTCGGCCGGCGGGCTAAATCAGGCGAGGGGTATCCGAGTACGCTCTGCGCGCAAGGTGTTGTGGACTCCGCTGGGCAGTTGGTCGCAAGGAACACCGCATCGACACCGTCGAGACGAGGCTGCGTCTGGTACGTCGCTGACCATCTGGTCGGATGGAACTTCGCATCGGCATCGTCGAGACGCGGCCCAGTCTGGTGCATCGCAGAAGGCTACGAACATAAGGTGATGTCGTACACTCTTCAGGATAATTCAGGTCACTTTTCCACTACACCGAAAACGTAATCCACAGTGGGGTTCGGCAGCCGCCTGGGACAACTGAGCAGCCCTATTTAGGGAGAAAACTACTCACCCCCGCGATGAAGTGGCTAGAAAAGTTGCTTTAAACAAATGCTGGGGACCCACGTCGTCTGCATGCTGATCGTGGACGCAAACGCAAAACTCATGGTCGAAACAGTCAAAATCGAAACTACAAACTTTCCCTCTTCCCCCCCTCCTCCTCCTCCTTCCCGCCGCTCCACTCGCCAGACTGGTAGGGTTAGTCCTCTCGCTTTGGCAGCCAGGACTTTCGTTCCCTTTTAGACAATCCTAGAAGCAACCGAACGGAACGAAGGACGGCGCTACTGGCTCGGGAAGTGGCGTGCCATAAGGTTGACATCGGTGGACTCAGCGAGACCCGCTTATCCGAAGAAAATCAACTGGGAGAGGTGGGTGCTGGCTACACCTTCTTCTGAGGCGGTCACTCAAGGCAGAGAGATGGGACGCGGGCGTCGTCTTTGCTATTCGCAATGATATCGTGGGACGACTGCCCTGTCTTCCTCAGGGCACCAACGATTACATGATGAGCCTCTACCTGTCTCTCCGCGGAGGCAAATTCACCACCATCGGCAGCGTCTATGCCCAACGAGGCGAAGAACAAATTCTACGAGGACCTGCACGCAATCCTGGCGTCTGTGTCGAAGGCTTTGGTGACTCCAAAGTCTGCGTCGGAACAGATCATGCTGTGTGGAGAGAGATGCTAGATCCCCATGGTCTCCACGGTCCAAAGACAATGGCCTGCTCCTTCTCTGCACCTGCGGAGAACACCGAGTCATCCTGACGAACACCTTCTTCTGTCTGCCGGAGCGAGAGAAGGCCACCTGGAGGCATCCTCGGTCGCGTCAGTGGCACCTGCTGGACTATGTCCTCGTCCGGAGGCGAGACCAGCGGAACGTGCTGGTGACAAGGGCGATTGCGGGCGCTGACGGGTGGACCGACCATCACCTCGTCATCACGAAGATACGTATTCGCCCTTAGCCTCGCAAGATACCACAAGGTAAGCGACCCCCAGGTAAACTAAATATTGTCGTGTTGTATTTGCCCGCTCAACATCTCCATTTCAGCAATGAACTAGCCCAAAGTCTAGCCAACCATCCAGACGCCGCCGCCGCCCTCGTCGACGAGAACGCCTCCGTTGAGAACCGATGATGTCAACTGCGGGACACGATCCAGTTGACGACCCTGGCAGTCCTCGGTAGCACACACCGCAAACATCAGGACTGGTTCGACGACAACGATACCGCCATCAGCAACTTACTCGCCGAGGAGAACCGAATGCACAAAGCCTACGCAAATTGTCCTACTGATGACAACAAAGCAGCCTTCTACCACAATTGCCACCCTGTGCAACAGCGGCTGCAGGGGATGCATGACAATTGGGCAGCTCACAAGGCGGAGGGGATCAAAGGGTACGCGGACCGCAGCGAATAGAAAAGCTTCTTCGCTTCGAGCAAGGCTGTTTCCAGTCCCCCCAGCCAAAAGATACCACCCCTTTTCTCAGTGCCGACAAAATCCCCCTACTCACTGGGAAGATGCTAATTCTGCGGCGATAGGCCAAACACTTCAGAAGAGTCCTCAACCGCCCCTCCACCATCTCCGACGCCGCCATCGCCCGTCTGCCTCAGGTGGAGACTAACGTCGACCTCGACCTCCCGCCCTCTCTACACGAAGCAATCAAGGCTGTGCAACAGCTCTCTAACGGGATAGCGCCCGGAGCGGACGCGATCCCTGCTGAGGTCTACAAGCACGGCGGCTCCCAACTCATGAATCACCTGACTGCGCTCTTCCAGGAGATGTGACGTCAAGGAAAAATCCCGCATGATTTCAAGGACGCCACAGTCGTCCATCTCTATAAGCGGAAAGGTAACCGCCAGCTCTGCGACAATCACCGAGGCATCTCCTTGATGACCATTGTCAGGAAAAACTTTTCTCGCATTCTTCTCAACCGTCTAAATCACCGTCAGGAACACGTTCTCCTACCAGAAAGCCAGTGCAGCTTCCGCCGTCACCGCGGAACCACCGACATGATCTTCACCGTCCGCCACCTGCGGGAATAGTGTCAGGAAACGCGGATCCACCTCTAGTCTATCTTCGTGGATCTGACGAAAGCCTTATATACGGTGAATCGTGATGGACTGTGGAAAATCCTGCAGAAATTCGGCTGTCCCGAACGATTCACTCAGACAGTGCAGCAGCTCCACGATGGCATGACGGCACACATCACGGACAACGGAGATGTCTCAGAGGCATTCGCAGTAACCGACGGAGTGAAACAGGGCTGCGTCCCGGCCCCCATCCTCTTCGGTCTTATGTTCTCTGCCATGCTGATGGACGCCTACCGTGGCGAACGCCCAGGGATTCGCATCACCTACAGGACAGACGGCCGCCTCTTCAATCAACGGCGGATACTCTTCCAATCGCGTTTATCCACAATTACCGCCCACGAACTTCTGTTCGCCGACCACTGTGCCCTCAACACCACCTCGGAAGAGGACATGCAAAGGACCATGGACCTCTTTTCCGCCGCCCGCGAGGACCTCGGTCTGATCATTAACACGGAGAAGACGGTGGTTATGCACCAACCGTCACCCAACACAGCTCCTCCCTATAATGCGCCGGAAATCAGCTTGAACGGAACTCAACTGTTAGTGGTGGACATCTTTCCGTATCTGGGCAGCACCCTTTCCCGCAGCACGAAAATCGACGATGAAGTAGCCCGCTGGACTTCGAAGGCCAGTCAGGCCTTCGTCCGTCTTCAAAGCACAGTTTTGAATCGTCATGGTCTCCAGCCCAGCGCGAAACCTAAGACGCACAAGACCGTCATCCTACGGATATTGCTGTATGGAGCAGAGAACTGGACGGTGTACACGAACCAGGCACCTAGACTCAATCACTTACGCCTCACTTGTCTTCGTCGAATATTAAACCTGCTGGCAGGATCTTATCCCAGACTCGGACGTACTGGAGTGGACGGGAATCCTCAGCATCTACGCCACACTAAGACAACTACAACCACGCTGGAGCGTCACCTTGTACAGATGGTAGACGAGCAGCTTCCGAAACGACTCTTCGATGGAAATTTTGCGACGGGTTCACGCCGACAAGGACGTCAAGTCCGGCGCTACAAGGATACTCTCAATACTTACCTGGAGCGCCTGCAGATCATCCCGGCCAACTGGAAAGACCTAGGCCGGGACCGACCTACTGGGAGGAGCACAGTGAAGACAGGCGGAGTGATCTTTGAAGCCAACTGCATCACAGTCGCCAAAGCCAAACGCTAAGCACGCAAGTCTCAGCTACGTCAACTCCGCAATGCCAATGCACAATCGCGTCCAACCTGTCCACGGTGTCAGCGGACATTACGGGCGCCAAATGGACATGTTGAGCAGTTCCGCACCAACTGCAGCACTCGAACTTTACCAACCCTCGTCTTCCAGTTCACTCCTTCATTGCCTCTCACGCTGTCAAATAACGTTGATCGTCATCCCCAACGACGACTACCATCCTCCTACGCCGCCGCCTCCTCCTCCTCCCCCTGCGCCACCTCCCCTCCTCCTCCTCCGCTGCCCCAACGGCTGTCGTTGTGGCGCCTGCTACGCACATCAGGACTGCGCACAATCCTGGCACAGCAACAAGTACCAACGCCACCTCCGTCGACACCAGATGTGCGGACGTGGGCTACACTTGTCCTCACTGCGACCGCACCTTCACCTCACACCCCGGTCTCGCCGGTCACTCGCGAATCCATCGCACAGCGACTGGGGATCAGTGCCTAGAGCATCAACCTACACCCTCCGTATTCTCCTCCACTGTTCATATCGAGATCGCACATTTACTCACCGCACGGATCTGTTAGGCCACATGAGTATCCTCGCAAACGTACGGTAGACAACCGTCGGCTGCAACACACCACGACAAAGCACGTCTTCTTCCAATTTTATGCTCCAAAGAAGAGTATAATTCGGTTTTGAAAAAGTTCTAATTCCCGGAGAATTTTGAACCCTCTTCATTGATATTTTGGCAGATTTTGAATAATTCACATTGACCCAACGGTGAAAAACTCGGCGCCTCGGTGGGATTCGAACCCACGCAGTAAGGGGGAAGGCTTTAGTACAGCCAACGCTCTAACCACCTGAGTTACGAGGCCCCGCCGGACGACGCGAGTTTTATCACGCAGATTTTGAATAATTCATATTCATCTGCCAAAATATCAATGAATTACGTGAGCCTAGTAGTCATCTGGTGGATTCTAGGTGAATTACTTAGGAAATCCTGCTTGGGCAGTCAACTTACTGTATCAGATTTGGTGGATTCCAGACGTTGCAGTAGGTTGGGCGGGTAACTTGACCCAAGTGTGATAAAACTCGCGTCGTCCGGCGGGGCCTCGTAGCTCAGGTGGTTAGAGCGTTGGCTGTACTGAAGCCTTCCCCCTTACTGCGTGGGTTCGAATCCCACCGAGGTGCCGAGTTTTTCACAGTTGGGTCAATATGAATTTTGAACCCAACCTGCTGTTATACTTGCGTTAAGGGTTTCAAAACTACAAGTCGTATAATTTCCGTGTACGGAAAATCATACACTTCCCTACGGTATAAAGAGGAGGCCATATGGAGTTCATACAATTAAGCAGTAGATTTGAGCAATATTGTTAACTTTGCAAGCCAAATTGTTAAATGCAGATACATGACGTTTTGTGAACGGCCATCTCACGGTATTAAGAAATATCACAAGTAGAAACCTTTTGAACCCAAATAATACTCCTCCTACGAGTATAAAATTGAAAGAAGGCATTATTTTCTACCGATTAAATAAAAGAATGGATATTGTAATGCATTTTTTTCATGAAATATAACTGAACTCTTAAGGGCATCGAAAATCAATGAGGAAACTGCATGCTACCTAAGCAGCCACGTTTTGCAGTGCATAGTTCACGCATGCAGTCGGAAATAAGTTTGTTCGAAAGAAGACACCCTGAGGTAACTGGATCATTATGAAATTATGCTGGATGGTGATTGGCTTTACAACCATACTTAATTAATATTTTCAAAGCGAGAACGTATTTCGGAATTTCGGTTGACATTTCATGAGTTAGCCCACCCACTGTATCTCGGGCAACGACGTTGTGGAATCAGTTCCGAGACCACTCTGAATGGTCGAGTAGAACACAATCGGACTCAACCAAATACCACTTCACGCCCACATCTGCAAGCAGACAGAACCCTCAAAGGTAGTTAAAAATTTGCATGAACGGATGATACATGCCCAAACGCAAGTAATTGCTGAAAGTTCATACAGGAGTCGCTGATTTTTCCTCTGCTGCGTGAGGCAACCACGAGAGATCCAGCTACTCAAAGGGATTTCCAGTGTTCCGCATGAGGTTCTTGGCATAGCTTCATTTATCCTTCAGGAGTGAAAACTGTGGCTCTTTAATCTCCTCAAAAATTAATGTGCTAACTTGGAGTAAATAATTAGGAGCGGAGTTTTACGGGCTGTCCGAAGCTGATATAACTGAGCACAAATTCATCAGCTTCAGCGGGATAACCGTGTAATATTCACCAAATGTTAACAGCCAATTAGTTTTATCCAAATGTCATTTGCTTTGCAATACTGAAGGGGTGTGATGGTAAGCCCTCTACCGCCTTCAGTCTTCTTGACAATGCCCTGACACCGGGCCCAGACGGGAGAGTGCGGTAGTTGCTGAGAAAGTATACACCCACTACAAACTAAATCACGCGCTGATCCCCGCTCTTGTTCTCACCTTGCTGTGAAGCACACGGTGGAAGTCATTGGTAACGACGGTCGAACTGCCACATTATGCTGACTGAACAGATACTAGCTAAAAGCCCAGACATGCTTCGCTGGTTCCCTGCGTTGCATGATGCGAGGGATTCGGTTCACCAGTGAGCCCTCCAGCGTTCCAAGCGTGCTTTCAGCAGATACTCTATTTTGAGATCTGAAACTTAATCTAAAAAATTAATACACTATTTTGGAGTAGATCCTTCGGAACGAAGCTTTATAAGCTGGCAGAGCTACTGATGGGTTTAACAACCCGTAGCTGCCACGAAGTGGCAGAATATTAGCGAAACATGTCTGGCCTCTCAGCCAATACCTGTGCTGTCTGAAAAATCATGAAAGAGAAGTGAAAACACTGATGAACCATCTGCCGGACATTTGGTAAGTACGTGCGTTCTAGGAGCACATTGAAACCACTAATTCAGGACAACTCCACGAAGAAGATTCGACTTTTGGAACAGATTTCTTATTTGCCTGACGTTCCGCATCTACTGTCGAACTAATCATCAATGATAGTAACAGGGCGGCGGACGCACGAGGGCGGAGTTACCACATCAAGACCATTAAAGTTAGTAGGTTCAGCACTTAATACAATGGTAGTATAGGAAAATGGTTCGGTTGCCCGCATTCGAGTGGTCAGTCACCGCCATCTCATCAACGGTGTCACTCATTGGCCTGACAGTTGCCCACACACGAAGCTCACCTATATTGTCACTAGAAACATTTGTTGTCCGCGCACTCCGGCATGACTAATTACTCTATCCAGTCTTATCGCCAAATGGAAAACGACGAGATTACTTGGCTTGTGGGTGGACTGCAGGTCGTAGGATCATGACTTAATCATCTAGGGACTCCTACGGTTGTCACCTACGAGGATCTCGGTCCCATAAAACTTGAAAGTGAGGCTGGGTTCTGTCGAGTAGGCCTTCACTCGTGAACGGGCGCCATTCATCTTCACTGATGATGGGTGATAAGCCATTCAGAAGTCTTCCTGTTACAAATAAACATAGATGCCGTCACTATCAAGTCAAGCAGAAAAGTCGACAATGAAATCGAGGCGACTGACCACCGGAAGCGGACGACTGTCGCAATGAACACGAACGCCTGGAATTTGGACCTGCCGATTTTAGGTGACTACCTGGTAACCACATCCTATAACTTACTGAAGCCGCTACTCTTATCTCATGTTGCGTCTGATGATGTGTTCAAAAGTTAATCTAAGAGGTCAGGCGAACAGGCCCAAACTATAGAATCCCCCTTTTTCAACTGCTTTCTGCTAGTAGCTTTTCGTGTATCGAAAAACTATTGTCATAGTCGTCAATGCCATAATTATGATACTCAGGATTTGAAGCCACAGTCCTGCTTCTTCAACTGTTGGGCCTACCATACATGAGGCCAGGCCATTTTGATCTTAACGTTCAGGAGCCTTGAACTGTAGGCTACAACGCCGACTCCGATCCAAGAAACGGCGAATGACACACTGAAAGTGCCATGACAACTATACTGGTCCAGGGGTTGGGCAAGTCTCAAGGCTAATAAGCTGTGCACAACATGATTCGCTTAATGCCAAAATTTTAACATTAACTGGTGCCAGATCAACGTGGGCGGGTCGTGTCTTACCAGGTAAGCACATAACCTAACATCCGTAGGTAGCAGGGAAAGTATCAAAGAATACATAACTTAGTAAGGTAGACTGTCGAAAGTAAGACATTTGGATGCGTAGAAATAGGACTTATATACAAAATAGACCATAGAAAGGGACTGTCTGTTAGGCCAGAGTCGATAATTTACAGACATAAAGTTCTGTCGAGTGCGGTTGTAGGCGAACTCTGTGAACTCTCTGTCGCGGAATCAAACATATGCGTCTGCTGGTCCTCTTCGCCCAGCGCGATTCGCATTAGGTATTTGAACCGGTTCACAATCTCAGGCAAGGTTCGCTCTGGCCAAACGGAGGCCAGTAAAACCAGATTCACCCTAGAATAGCTGCCGGCACCGCGACAGTATTCTAGCAAACGACGGTCCTCTGCCAGCGACCAGGGAGCCCCAGTAGTTGCCACTGTTAGCTCAGAGGTATAGCCAATGGGCCTCGTCCCAGAATTCCGTGAAAATGCCTCAGTGTTGAAACACGCAGCTTCATCGTCCACTTCGGAGGACCAAGTGGCGGAGGGCGGAGACGGGACAGGACGGGAGGCGAGTGGAAGCGCGGCTGACGAAACAGAGGAGCCGGAAGTGGTGGAGGGAGAGGCGACTGGCGAGGAGGCTGCTGACTCGGCGTCTAGTTCCTCCTCCTCGTTTTCGTCGGTGTGCCAAACAGAGGTTTTTCCGCCTTTCGTTCCTGCTGCACCAGCAACAGTCGTCCCAAACTGGACGGCGACCTGCCGGCGCGCCATGTCTGGAAGAGAAGGGGCGGATAGCGGATCGAGACAGTAAGCAGCCAAGCTTTCCAGAGCCACCCGCGTTGAGACGGCGCTTCCTGTTGCATGGTTTGATTGAACGAATCGATGACGCGATCTTACTGGCTGCTGGAAAGCGAAATCTGATGGCCAGGTTATTTGCACGTGATTTAAATGAAAGTTGCATTCGTCCACGAAGACAACCCCCTGATGCACCTAAACAAAACAGGAGAATACCAAGCAAGGATTACAGGCTCGTGTAATCGAGACTAGAAAACTGCGGACGTGGAGTAATGACCTAAAAATCATAGAAGTCAAATCGGTAATGAAAGTCGACGTCGACGAAGTTGCGGATTGCTGATGCAGCGGTCCAATAAAAGACTGGTTAAAAATTTGTCTCAGTGAAGTCCGAAAAAAATAACACAGGGATCGCGCTAAAAAGAACGAAATGCAGACCGTAATACCGAAAGCCGTACCTCGAACGAAAAAAGAAAAGTAGGTCTCTGACTGCGCATCGGCATGCGACCAACTGCGAGGACGTATACCAGTCGACAGGCAAAACGGAATGCACCAGCTATTAGGCACCTTAAGAGAAATATCAACAAATCGGGTGTCGAAAACAGGCAATGTTGAACAGGACAAGATCTTTATCATCACGACATGGGACCCCTATGCCGCCCCACAATTCGGTCATATCGAAAATGGCCAGTTTATTAACTAGGATGAGAGAGGATCGGTGAGGCGGATGGGTTGGTGTGCGTTCATTGGCTGTATGTAGACCATACTTGTTATCCTGTCTCTGTGAAGGCCCCAGCTGACGCCTATAAAATAAAGCGATATAGGTGCACATTTTTGCGTGCTGTTAACGAAATTGATGATAAAAGCTAATAAGGATTTTTACGACAGAAGAGCTGTTTTGCTAAAATAGAACCCTATCGGGCTAAATTTTATATAGAATACATTCGAAAGAAATAAGCTCTTTGGGAAAGATAAACAAGTTTTATTGTAAATTTTCGATCTTGGTTCCCCAAGTCGTCTTCAGACGTGAATTAAGTGTGCAAAACAGTCAACATTTAAACATGTCGAAAAAATCGATTTTGCCTTGTCACTCCTGCTGGTGTATTGTTCTGATTGGCTAATGCCTTTTCCACTTTTCATTGAGGCTGCTGTACACCGTATCCAATTCTACGTGTCGATTGATGCATGCGTTATCAGAATGCATGACCTCTAAAAATTTACGGCCCTTCTTGGATGAACAGAAACCTACAATGCGAGTCCTGTCCCAGGCGAATTTGTGTCGTTTCCAACGTATGCATGGCAACTTGGGACAGGTAGTCTCACCTTTTTACGGCCAACTGATGTTCGTGTATTCGTGTAGAGGCCGATTTCCCAGTTTGACCACAATAAACCGCATTACAGGCGTTGCATGGTATCTTATAGACGACTTCCTTCTTATCTAAATAGTCAACACTATCCTTAGGGTGTACAAGCTGGTTACGAAGTGTAGTCGTCGGCTTGTGCGCCACATGTATTTGGTGCTTCCTCAGGTGTCTTTAAACTAGTTCGGACACATTTTAATGTAGGGACCCACCCTTGGGAATATGGTCCAGCTTGCAAAAGCATGAGAGTCAATGACAAAAAACATTTTAGGTGGTGGTATGGCCCGAATATTATCTTGACCGGGTGTTGAAAAGGGTACCGACTAAAAGGCGGCCAGCTGAAATGGAATGTGAGATTGTGGTAGATCCTAATCAGCATCCACGAGGTCTCGTACCTATTCCATCATGGTGTATTTCAAGTGCCAGAGTGCAGCTCTATTGAAACATACAAAGGCAGAATTTTTTAACAGAGGATACAGACAGGAAAGGTTAGAAACCCCACGAGGCAGAATGTGTATTATAACCTGCTTGACAGAAAAATATTCGATACTTTTGAATGCTAAGTTTCAAGACGGCTTAATTTCCAAAAAACTAGTAGAATGGCGTTCACCAGCGCATCCTGTTTGTAGGATGAACTTTGGGCGATTATTTCTGGCCTTGGATTTCTGGCCAATAATCATGACAGCCAGTGGCATGGCAAATAAAAATCCTTAATTGGGAAAGGTTACCAGAAACAAGGGAGACTGGAATGGCGATTTCCAGCTTGTTCGGACCGACAGGACCTGAGAATCAGAACAGGACTCTTTGTTCATTAGGCCAACACGTAAAACGCTCTACTATTAAGCCATGTTCGTTGCGGTTGGAAACAATGAAGTCATACGGCAGTGGTATTTGCTCCAGAACGAACCGGACCCAGGTTGCAATCTCAGGTCTTTTTGGTCCACAGTCAGAATGTGGCTGCCTAATGACGGTGAATAGGAGCGAAATGGCTAATGCATTTTCCCTTGTCCCTTGTGGGTAGCACTTCTTGACTTCTGCTGAGGTTTCACCAGTCTTCGGTTGCCGTCCATCAGCGCGTTGGGTGGAGGTCCTTTAAATGGAACCCTTACAAGGGCTAGACGAAGCATATAGTTCATCGATCCTCCGCGTCTGTGACGCAAGGATCAGAGGGTCGGCTCATGAAGTGCCTAGTCCCCGATGTGTCCACCTGCAGTCCAGTGTTCAATTTCAAATTTAAGTCGGCAAATGTGATATGCGCAACGGAGATAAGACAGACTTCAGATCCCAAAATGCATGCATAAAAAGGAATGAAGCGCAGTGTCAACCAAGTTAAAGATAGGCCCGTCTTGCAAGTCAGAAAGTGGGGCCATTTGCACAGCTCGCAAGTGTAGTCGTGGTAGTTTCGAAATAGAGAGCCTGAATTGAATTTAGGGACTCGAAGTCCAATTCCGTCCCAGAGCAAAATCTTCTATCGGCATGAGCTCCCTACTTCCCATGGTCGGTTTGATGAGATCTCCCAAGCTTTGGCATCGCGGAATGTGTTTATTAAATGTTGCATTTATCAATGGCATGCGTATGTGAGGTTTGCCTTGTAATCACAGCAGAAAAGTCACTTGAGCCCACGTCACAACGAACTCTTTCCGGCTAAAGAAATTATCTATTGCTAACGTATGCTGTAGTTTCTTTGAACCTGTGCGGTCAGTTGGTGGAATGGCAGTCAAAGTACTACAAGTGGGAGGAAGAAAGAGGCTCTGGGGCCTCCTAAAGTTCCAAGAGAAGGGAGAGGAGAGTTCAATTCACTTACTCTCAAGCTGCACTTGATACAGTGTCGCAGACCCAGGCTATCCACCTTTGCCGGCTTTCCGCTGGGATTGGAAGTGGACAGTGTGTGTGAAGTCGCAACAGCAGCAGTTACGGGGAGAAGTTTCTGGGCTGGCTGGTGATCGTGACAGGGACAGGGGCACTGACGAGCCGTGGTGGTCTTGGAGAGACGATAAGCACCCCCTACGGACAGTCCCGGCTGCTGGAGAAGGGCAGAGGCAGGGCCAGCGGCAGTACAGGAAGCCAACTCGGTGGAGATCTCCCAACGAAAGGTTTCTGATGACAGGTTGGACTCTGCAGAAGTGGTTATACTAGGCAGCATCTCGTCCACCAGACGCGGAAGGGTCGATGACAGCGCTACTGATGAATTAAAGACCGGAGTGGCGGAAGGGTCTGGTCTCCGTGCCAGTGAGTCAACTACTTCAAAGGCCTGAAAGCACCAAGATGATAGTGGGAAATAAAGGGGAACAAAGATCACTTATTGCATTAGGACAAAACAAACTTGAGCAGCGTCCAGCGAACAGGAGGACATACCAAGGTGACAGTCGAGAAAGCGCTGTTATTATGCAGGCACAGAAAATAAGTGTCACAACTTGGCTTGGTATGCATAATGGTTTGCGGAGGTTGACGCATGAAATTGGCACAATGTGAGCCGATTCGGCGGCTGAATCAATTAACGTGAGTCGCAGTGGACGTCCACCGACTAAGGATTGCCTTCGAAGCTGGGTCAAGTCGTTTTCCGGTTCTGCTCTTGGAAAGATTTTTCAGATTTACAAGGATAGCCATTTGATGAGTAGACGGTGTTCTGACGAAAGATTGCCTTTCTAGCTCTTTATCGTGCTATTACAGCTGCAGCAGTCGGCAGAATCTCGGGTTACATAATCTCAGATAAGATTAAACTCACGGCTCCCGGTGAGGCCCCATATCTCAAGTGGATAGAGCGCTGACCGTACCCAAGCCTTCCCCTTGCTAACGTGATTCTATTCTTTGGTTGCTGGAAGGGGCTGTTAGCCATTTAAAAGGATCAGTGCGGTTAGTTATTCGGAAAGAGGGTGTTATGCCCTAATGGGTGGATGAGAGAGGGGAAGGTGAGTCGCCGGGACAACCTCGTTATCGCCCAAACTTCAGTAACAAGGTGTAAAACGCACCGAAACTCGCCTGGTTTAGTCAATTTTTAACGATTCCAAAGCCCCTTAAACTTTGGCATGGTGATCGTTAATTAGCCGTTTCGTGCGCGATACCCCAAGTCGAAAAATCCCGGAGGTTCGGTCGACCATCGAGTGTGCCGTATGCATGAGGGAAGGCATCATGCTTGCTTAGTGATGCAGCGTACATGTTGATTGAGTATCTGCTTGCACGTGAGCAGTTCGCAGTCGGCTTGACCTGTTGTGCCGTGTGCAGTTGCTTTGTCCTTCCACTTTAGGCGGTGACTGAATCTTGCTCCCCTCCTCCATTACATAAAACAATCTGTGCAGCAGTAAGAGGTAAGAAATAGTTGCAAGAATAAAGCCCAGCCAAAATGGTTACCACACTAACTGTGAGTGCACTCTCCGAAAACCCATGGTTCGACGCGCCTTTCGATACGTCTACGGCTACAAGCAGCCGATGGCCCTCTGTTTTGCCGACTTTACTGCGGAGTTCTGCTCTGTTCACACAGAGTTTCTGTGACCAATAATGGAGTTAGACTGGCTGCCAAACAACGCTATTGTTGTGACTGCAGGCCACTTGAGATCCATTTGTTGCCCACGTTCTTACCCAAAAATTCCCCACAGCCGATATTTCACCGGATCTTAGACAAGAAACCGCCCTACCTTCCTTTCTATGTGGTGAATCACAATGCGGTTCGGTAACCAACCTACAGCCGGACGTCGGCTCATGAACCTTAACTATGCTAATGATATCGCCCTATTGATATCAAGCTACAGGACATGTCATCGCATATGAGTGGGGTCATAAACTCGGGTGTTTATACATAAGCATTACTGAATTGGAACGAAGGCACCCCAAGAAATATAATTTGAGAGCATATACGTTCTTTGGGAAAAGTATAAAATTTTCGACGTCAGTTCCTCGTGTCTTCGCCGGGCTCGAGTAAATGTGAAAAAAAAACAATTAAAATTTCAAACGTGCTGGGAAATCAATATTCATTTGGATTTCAGCCAGTAGGCGGACGCCGTATGCGTCAGTCTGTATCGATTGGCTTTCGTCTCTTCTACTTTTCCCTGAGATTTTTGTATGTGACAGCTAACGCTATGTGCCTATTGATGCAGTACTCATCAGAGTGAATGGCTTCAAGAAAATCTCTGTCTTTTTTAGATGGAAAAACTCCAACGATGCGAGTTTTGTCCCACGCGAAGGTGTGCCCAGTATCAAGGGTGTGCACGGCCATTTGAGAAGGTGATCCCGCCTCTTAACTGCCCGTTGATGTTCGTGAATGCGTGTAGAGGCGAATTTTCTCGTTTGGCCACAATATACGGAATCACAGGCCTCTCATGAGATCTTATAGACGACATCCTTTTTATTGAGATAGCCAACCCTATCCTTAGGGTTTGCACATTTATTCGAGTCTGACGACGACATGGGGAACCGACGTCAAAAATTTACTCAATAAAGTTTTCTTTTTTTCCCAAAGAACGTATTTGCTTTCAAATAAAGATTACTATATTTGAATATGTAAAGACCATGGTACTGCCAAAGGGGGACAGTAGGGACAATGTCATTGTCTGAATGAATTTTGCTGGAAGGTGTTTTGTTAGTCTCTGAATGGATTAATCAACCCGTCATGATATCTTGATTGTTGTAAAAACCGGCAAGAAAATGGAGCTGTTGGGCCATTCCTCTTTGCTAAACGCGTGCGGTCGAAAAATAAAACCCATAAGGTGCTGATCACCATTGATTGAGAAGTATTTCTTAACAGAGGCATGCAATCCTTCTCCCAAATCAGGCAGTTTGCATTACTGCAGCAAAGCCACAAAAGTAGCCGAAGTGGTTGGGGCAAAATTTCTATGGTTCAGTGTTGGAAGTCGGCACTGCTTGTTTAAACGCAAAAACGGCTCTCATCTCATCCAATTCGACCCGATCAATCAAGGTCTTGTGGCGGATCTTCGGGTTCTGACATCTTGTGGATAAAAGATTGGGTCGAGTTGATAGGATGAAGGCACATGGCGCAGGGTCTTAAGGTCGACTACGACGATGCAGATGAAGATAATGATTATGACGGAAAGGGAAAGCTGGTCCCACTACCGCAGCGGACAAGCTCCTGCGGTCTTAAATATTACAGGTCACACATTTGCAGCGAACTAAAGTAAGAAGATAGAACGACATATGTATGAGACCTGCTTGGCAACCAGGCGTTGTTAAAACGTAACAGAGACAAGATACTTACCTGTGGAAAATTGGAGTAGGGACGATGATTAGGCTCCAGACAGGCGGACGCTTGGGCCAAGAAGACGTACCGACTCCTTAAGGAGGACTCCAACAAGCTCCACGCACTCTTCAACACCTCCTTAATGGACTTCGGTTTCGGGCGACGGGTTCGACGGCGAAAGGCTCTCCAGTTAGACGTCATCGTGTGAGGATGTTGGGGAATTGACTCGTCCTTCGCAACCGTCAAGACTGGCACACGCATCTCTTCCGGTTCACGTGAGTTCGCCAGCTTGCGCAGACGGCACCAGAAGCGCTTTCCACTGGGAATGAGACAATTAAGGGCCATCTGCAGCGAACGCACCCTCGACGTATGCGCGTAGACAGGAAAGAGACGCAGAGCACGAGCTTGTTCTGGTGTCAGAAGACAGACAAAGTCCTCCCACAGGGGGCGACAGCCGGCAAGACAGTTCAACACTGTGCTCAGGTGCTTCAGAAGGGGCGGCGGCGAATGAAAGGCCTGTTCGCGACATTGATCAGTGATGCAATTAGAGAGGTCGGAGAAGGAGGTGACCAAGAGACTGTGCTCGGCAGGTGAAAGATAGACCCGGCATCGGTCGAGGAAGGTGCGTGCGTAGAGCACATCGGCCTCATCTGCTTCCCTGCCCCAGGTGAGCTGCATTGAGGGGCCAGAACGCCGTGAACGAGTCATAAGCAGAAGGTCGTCAGAGCCGCCGCCATTCTTTTTGCAGCCGCAACGACGCAAAAATTTAGCGACTACAGGGCGCGAATTAGAGGTAGATAGGGTACTTGCTATTAATGATGTAGTGGCGTTGCGTCGAGAAGTGGGTTCGATCGCTGTTGTAGCTGCCCCAGCGAGAGTGCTGCGCACTCGATCTAAACTCTGATTAAAGGATTGAATGAATTTGACCACGTCCGGCGACTGGGCAATCGACCTACTCGATGCCCTCGCCGCAGCTGGTCTGACATTTGGTAGTGTGCATAGAGTGCCGGTAATGTGTGGTCGGGGTATGTTGGGCGGCCGAGGGCTGATTCGTCGAAAACCGCCAACAATGCCGGCAGTAATACCAGGAACTCTGCTAGGGTGAGTTTCAGAGGTAGGAAGCGATGGAATTGTCACTGATGCCAAAGTACCTTTATTATCACCACTGAGGGAGAGTCGGGACTTCCTCCTCTTCCATCGTATACACTTGGCAGAATTGATAGTCATTGTGGTAGTGTGTGGGAGGAGCGTAGACGGTTTGTTCGAAAATGATCGGACAGAAGAAACGCCGAATCCAGATTTCTCCACAGGCTTTGATGGGGGAGCGGGAGCAATTGGACGCAAAGAGGCGGTCCCAGGGGTGGCTTTTGACGCCAAAGTAATATCAAGCTGAGACTGCGATGGCATTAGTGGAAGAAAGGGTCGAGCTAAGGGTGGAATGATAGAAGGTGGCTTGGGAGATGTTGACTTAAGAGGACTTGTTAACGAAGGAGGGGTTGCAACAGAAGTTTGGGTTGATCGGCATACTACAGAGACGTTGGTAGAGGTCTGAACTAAGCTACACCCAGAGGGACTTTCATTCAAGGCAAAGGCGGACCTTGAAGGGACTACTGTGAACGACGGGTGGTTCGGGAAAGGAGGCCGAGATAGGTAAGGCGTGGTAGCAACTTTCTTGGCAGGTTGGTGAGACACAACCGCCGTTGAAGGTGGGAGAATAGATGAGACAGTAATGGAGGGCGGTGGGAGGACGACCTGAAAAACTGGTTCCACTGGAGCACACGGAAGGCTAGTGATGACGACCAGATTGCCCGAGATGACAGGATTGCCAACCGCGAAGGAGGACGTCAATGATGATGTCACTGCTGAGACGGGGCTGAAGAAACGTATACAATGGACATGCTGAAACCGCGAGTGATGAAGTTGGAGCTAGGGGAAAGGGGGCCTTTTAGAGTCACTTGACATACGTTACTTTAAGCTAAAGCCGTATGTGGTAGAAAAAGTGTTCAAGGTACGTACAGATAATCATTACGGACGATAGGTAATTCGTGATGCTGAGAATAATGCCTGCCTTCTTTGCAACAAGTCGTCTGATATTGTTATGTGGCCTACGCACTTATATCCTAAAGCTTTGTTGGTGTGTTTTCCCTTGCTGTTCTCGTAGCCTGGTAAATATCTCTGTCTTCAGCCGCCCGGTCTGTTTTACTTTTACTTATTGATAATATTAGTTGACACTTTACCTGCCAGGCAGTCCGCTGGTCGAATTTCTTACTGCAAGACATATCCTTCCCACCCTGATTTAGTGACAACGAGATCTCTCCGTCCGACCCACAATATTTCCGTTATACCCCCTGTCGACCTCCTACTCGTTCGTGACCTAGTGTGGAGGGACTTGCAGCAAACGCCGACATTCATGACTTATTTACTGGCTGGCGAGGGTATGGTTTCTACCCGGGCCAGCAACAGATAATCTTAGGAGCCTGCCTAACGGGAATGGTGGATAGGGTTTACACGGGTGGGGCCTTCGGACTCACAAAAGTAAATCGAGAAAATAATGGTGAGAGAAAAGTGAAATAACATTGAAAGTCTTCTAATGCGCTTAGAATGTAAACGGTAAGTAAGCGCACAAATTCGAAAAACTATCCAAAAGCGGTAGTCAGGAAAATCCACACAACTGGATAAACCGCTGTCAACTGAATAACGAAAGCTCAGGTCCCAAGTGAAGTAGTAGCCAATAGGAATTGGCCACAGGCGTTAAGCGAACGAGCAAATAATGCAGATTGAAGGCTAACCGCTAACTAATTCCTTTTTTAAACACAGACTACCACCGGAAACAAACTGTAAGACGCAGACGACCTCAGAGGGGCAAACCAACGAAAGTTGAGGAGATAATGGAAATAATACAAAAAGCGAAAGAAGGGTGTAGTCGAGCATGTGAACAACATAAAGTGACAAACCCTCAGGCCGATAATAACAAAGGGGGTAGCAAAAGTCAGTGGGAATAGGACGGATGAATGGAAGGCCCACACGCGACCGCCGTTTAAGGGATATGAACACTATACCGTAAACCATAGTAGGAATTTTGTTGGCGCAGCTGCAGGCTGACATACTAATGCAGTTGGAGCGTATTGGAGCTGCCCAAGAGATTACATGGAGGAGGCCGAGCTGTCTGGGCCCACATTGACGAGATACAATATCGTTTAGTGGTTTCCACTAAACACCACCGGTCTAAAACAAACATGGGAAACCTTACTGTGCCACATGGCGGGGGTGTACCCCGTGAGGCAGCCGAACAATTGATAAGCCCGATCGAAATGGCACACAACAGCCCATTCTCTCAGCGTTAAGAATTTTCATGTGTATAAAGCAATTCCAAAATACTCAGCCTTTGATACGCCTTTGTAGGCGGACAAAACTTTCGCATGACATCTAGCACGTCCGGAGGAGCGCAATAATGAGTTTATATAGACATTCCTGCAGCGCTTGGTTTTCGGGGAGGTTGTCTGCAAGGTCAATAGAACAAGCCGGTGAATCACGCAGGCCAAGCCTAAATGGTACACGGGGAAATACGTAATCGACCAACACCTACTTAAGTAAATGAAGTAGTCAGTCTTGTAAAACATTAGGCTTACCCGGGTGCAAACTATACCCTTACTGACTAACATTCCTCAAAAAGTGTTCAGATAGAAAAGTACTTAGTTGGTTGGCATGGGATCTGATTCCAAACTGATTCACAAATAGTGGCACGATGACGTTTGGTTAAACATCTGTTCAGTCACCTGTGCAAACTGAACTCGGTGAAACCTTCATTAGTGGTGTGTGCATTTTTCAATCGGTTTTCGATGCCTGTAAGAGCCAAACTGTATTTCTTGAAAGTAATGCATTAAAATTCTTTTCCTATTTTTATTTCATAGGAAATGTCGTCTATTTCAAAATGGGTGGCTCAAAATGGGGCACTGATGTTTAAAAGCAGTTTGCTGGTGCCTGTATAGCATGAATCATAACCAGTATTTTCAAAATTTCGCAAGGTCTCCAAGTTAAATGCCACATATTTTCCTTACGTCGCATTTCTTCTAAGCCGACGGCGCTCTCAATCCGACATCGTTTGATCGTCTTCCGTCAGAGGAGCACTGTCACAATTAAAGCGCCGCACATTCCCTTATTTTATCCCCCTACCACCCGGCTCGTGGAGGGACGCCACAAAGCTCAACAGGACCGTCAACAACACCGGTTGCTCCATAACCACCTCAGTGAAAAGCCGTATGGTATTCAAGGTGCAAACAGAAGGCGAGATCCATGAGGATCGACCACGGATACAATTTTACAGGCCTAACGTCCCGGAAGTACTCTCAAAAAAATCGACAGTGAAAATAAGGGAAAGTGGTGACAGACCCGCAGCATGCCGTTGGTACGTCATCGTACCTATTGAAGTTATTGGGAAACACATTCAACATAAGGCTGGTACGTGTGCGATAACGGTTGGATCGTTCGCACTCTAGTGGTCAGCCATCGCCATTTCATCAATGGTGTTATTTATTGACCTGCGAATTACTCGTCCATAAGGCTCACCAGTACTTGCATTGAAAGCATTGTTCAGTCGCGAGCTCCAGACAAAGTCTTGGCGCTGAATAGGAAAGGGAGAGGATAACCGCGCCTGTTGGCGGACTGAGGACCGAAGAGCCATGACGCAGACAGTTAGCGACTCACTCGGTTGTTACCTCTTGAGAAGATTTCGGTCTCGTCAAAATGACAAACGCCGCGGACGCGTCTCAGGACACATCTAACGTTTCCTAAGACAATGTACGAGCATTTGAAAGGCATACCGATAGGTCGAACGGTTTCTGTATTGGGCCGAGGGGGTGCAGCTACGGCCGTGATGAGTGATCTTCCATCGGACGGGATAGGATGCAGACGTTCAAAGAATATTTTAACGCGGTTTTCACGAAGATACAATTCACGAGAAAACCATCGCTTAAACCAGTCGAAATCGGCACACCACAAACTGTGACAACTTCACACACAGCCTGTGTCAAGCTTGACAAACACAGGATCTCATAAAAAGTCTGCATATGTCGAGAATGAAGACAATACCCAACCGTCTCAACTAAGTCTTGAGAGAAAGTCCATTCCGTTGATTTGCCCGGTTGGATTGGAAAAAATGCCCAGGCGGTGAGAATATTAAAAGTGTTAGTGGCTGCAGATTGCTTAAAATATAACGTTTTGCTAAGCCTCCCAATAAAAACCTGGCCCTTGCGGTGGGAGTGTGTGGACGCTGCAGGAGCCGGAAGAAATGGAATACTAAAAAAGGGAAACAACGGTCTCGTCTCCTACGATCTAATGACTGTTCAAAATCCCAACATCAGACTAGTTCAGTGAAAGACCAGTAATTTCAGAGAGTATGGACGCGATCAAAACCTTTTTGGAGGAAGAAAGCGGTAGTAGCCTATATTTATAAAACCGACAGGGCAGCCAAGACGGAGGCCTGGATGCTGGTAGACAGCGGCCTCATCTACCACTGGATCCTGCTCCGGAGGCACGTCATTATTCGTTCAAGTTTGGAAGTGCTGCAAACTGCTATGTCGCGTCCGAGTAGGAAACCCTTGTCATCGTAGACATGTACCTTCACCCCTAAATGTATGCTTGCCTCCGACGAGCTAGTCCCAGTGAAGAGTCTCTTCCCTTATCAATCGGTGAAATAGAAATTGTCACTGCAAAACTCAACGTCCCCGGCCCCCGGGCATGGGTGGGTCTGCCCTAGAAAACGCGATCGGGATCTTAGCGAAACAGCCCTTGATTCAGATGGAATAGTCTTCAGCCACAGCCCACTTATGATAGAAGATCCGACTATCGCGAAAGTAGGAATATTGGATGTAGCAATCGGACATAAAAGGAAGGCAGACCAGTGTTGTTGGCATACGCAGGATGTCCTGTCATCAAATAATCCTTCCAGTGTGGTCGAAATCAAGCTAGAAACGGCACATCTCGAAAGACCTGTAGGAACATTTTGAAAAGCGGAGGAGTTCCAAGATGTTGCTATTCAACAATGAGACGGAGGGGCAGTTTGTGACTATTCTTGATCGGAGGGTGAGACGGCGTGGGACTCAGCTTATCGCGAATACCACCCTCTGCACTCATATCCCCCCCTTCATGGCTTGACTACAAAAACAGCTCATTTGAAGACGCATTCTCACAGTCTCTGACGATGGCCTCCTGTATGAGGCTGAAAGCTCAGACAAATATACCTTCTGTCCCAGAGATCGTGTGTTCATCTTTTTTGCAACAAGAACCTGGGATTCACATATTCGCTTCCATATACGACTTCGGACGACGTGACCCCAGATAGGAGTGTAGTCGCGATGGCGTCACTCAAAACATGGATTCAAACAGTGTGTCAGCACTCGGATATGGGGTATCACTAGCTGATGAAGACTAATAAGTCAGTAAAGGCCTTTCTAGTGTCGCTGTTTTAATCGGTAACACGCGTTAATTGATTGCCGTACACCATTCGACTGCCAGCCAGCGCTGTAAAACCTCAACACCAAAGAGGAACGGAATTACCGGCATACCATCTTGGAATCTAAATAGATCGGTGAAAGTCAATCGAATAGGTCTAACGTGGATTCTTCAGGGAACCAGTCAGATAATCTGGAATTGCAAATAAATATCCCTAGCTCCCCTGCGGCTTTTAGGAAACTGGCGCGAAACGAATAGACGACAATAACGGAACATGAGCTGGTCTTTGGGCGAGCTCAAGAAGGCCAGGGCAAGTCCTAATGAAACAGATAAAACCCGATATTTTGAGCAAACGAATAAAGTGAGATAAAGGAAGTGGTAAATTACGAGAGAAATGGCCGGAGAAAAGGGTCAGACAGAGAAATGCTACTCATGGAAGGAGAGAATGTCACTATACCAGGTAGATAACAAGTTAAAACTTGGCAAGCACGAATGATGGATCAAACTGAATTTCAATGCAGCTCTCCGAAAAAGCTACTGGAGCCGGAGATCTGCATGGGCATCACCACTGCTGCCTTCTAAAGCAGAGACCCCAAAGGAGCTGTGACACCTGTTATGACGACCCCACTTGCCTCAGTTCCTCGACCTCAGTGGTAAGGACGCAGTCTGCAGACTTTTCAATGCCTCTCGGTGCTACACGGCTGTCGTAATCCTAAAGAATAGCTAACATCCATCAGATGTCAAGTTCTGGGAAGGACTTCGAAAAACAGTGAGTTATCATCCGCTTAGTCTGACAATTGTGGCTGGTTGGATGGAGGAGAGAATCCTTTTCAGTTGCCTTTTGGTGGAAACGAGCTTACTCGTACATATCCGAGCTGAGTACATGCTGAAGTGTAGTACTGAATACTAGCCAATTACGCTGCCCCATTTCACCCATGGCCGTTTTCCATAGGTGGATGCAGCGTACAGAATTCACACTACGGGACTTTCCTGACGTCCCTCATATTGTTTGATGAAACGCCTTGTTATGGAAGATGATTAGAAGCAGAGTGCTTCCTCACTTGCTTCGCTGAGTCTAGCCCTCACACCCTAATAGAGCCAGCTCGTTTACCTTCAATGTGACAAAATAAGGTAAGCTTTAGTCACGGAATCCCGCATGGTTCGATGCTCTTGTGATTGATGTGTGTGGTCAACATGGACGATCAAATAAGGAAGTAATCTCTTCGTTGACGATGTCGAATTGAGAGCGCAAGAGAAGTTTCTGTAAGAGGCTCGAAATGAGGAAAACAAGACAAAGACGCTGGTTAATCTGAACGAACAATGAAAGATGAGTCGTTTAACTTCTTGACACACCTACAAGGTCTGATGGCAGCGAACTAAATGTACTGAAGACAAGGTGCTATCTATCAACCCCACCTCCAAAATATTTGGGTGTCAGTTATGACTGCCAGGTTGCGTATAGCGAGCGCGCTGATATTTCAGAAAAAAGCTGAGAAAGTGCGATACTAAGGGCATTTGTGAACTGGCGAAAGCGGCTGGGGCTGTGATCGTACAATCCATCGCAGTGGCTACACAGCCACAGCCTCAGCACTTGCGCAACGGCTCCTCACTGAGTAGGGTCAAGGATCCGTCTCCCAAACGCTTCGCTCGTCTTCGTCCTCGAATTCGAATTAACCACAATATGCTTCGATGCCGTCGAAAATTAGCTACAGAAAGTCTCTTTATGAATGTCATCGGCAGCCATCGTTGAAGAAAACACCTCAACCCCTGTAGCGTGGAAAAACCCCTATAGAGGCAGACAATTGCAACCCTCAGCGACACTGGTTTCTGGCCAATAAGTGAAGTCCAGGCCTGATCGGCCACGACGATTGCGAGACCACACGGATGAAATTTGTCGGTAGGACCGCTGTGATAAAGGAGACGGCAATTACTGATAACTAGCACTTTGACGATGTGCAAATCATGATCAAGCAAGCGCATCCTGAAGATGCAAATGGGGTTCACATTATGCCGCACCGACGCCCGCACGGAAAGGCTGCACGTCGTCGGAGTAAGAAGAGTTCTTAGGTTCCAGCATGCGTAGCGCAGTTGCTTCTTTTTTCTGCGACGGCCAGTTTGCACAACTGCCATCCAGCCTACTGACCGAGACCCGGACGGACGCGTCGATTACGGCGGCCTCCGCAATACGAGTCGGGGCTCGTGGTAAGGAAGCTTGCATGACAGAGATTCGGGGATTCGACACAGGCTGGGGCCGTAAACTATCTCCGCGGCCGACGAGAACGCGGACGATTCAGGTCACGGTGACATGCGGGTCGGATGTAGCCACACAGGCACCACTGGTGGGGCCACCCATCAAACAAAATGCGCCGTATAAGGAGAGTTGTGCGCGTGACTGCCCAGTCTCTGGAGATGGGCAGACGAAGCAACTACTCGAAACGTCAGACCGCTAATAAACCATCACCGGTAAACGCCTCCTCTTCTTTTGACAGACTGGGTTGCCTAATTCTCAACCCGGCCCTTGAGAGTTGGCTTACTTAGTCATTATGAGTGCTGTCATAAGCACGAGTCACTAAGGTCGAGTACAGAAATCCAAGTCTCAACAGGGCACGGCACAACAATTACCCCTATTTACAACGAAAGGCATAAATATTTAGGATCTTGACCAAGTGCTTCCACTCACAGCAAAACATTAATCGCGAAGTTGTGCAATAGTAAAAGACCGCTACGTCGCAAGTAAAACCTGACGGTAAATGGCGACAGTATACTTAATTCCAAATCAAACCAGATGAGCGGGCCGGGAATCTCAATCAGAAAAAACTCGAAGGAGCAAAAGAAATCACAACACATAAGACAGCGTGCTCGATCTCGGTGTGGATGAGACCTTTTCGTACTCACGGCAGTATTTGCCTCGAAGATCACCATTCTACCAATTTTCATGGTGTGAAAAGGGCAAAATAAATGACGCCCATCTTGACTATCTATTTTCTGTCGGTGAAATTCTTCCGCGAAACGAATGATGCAGACAAATGCCCGCATTAGAGGATTCTAACGCAGACTACAAGCCACGGTGAGGGCGAGTTACCACTGTACGCATTGCCACAAATTGGGATAGTCACGCTCGCAGCCGGCAGAGAGTGGACATGCAGTTCATTGATAGGTATCAGTTTGACTCTTTAAGAAAGGCAACTCGGAGGATGTGGGATCTGACTAGACTGTGGTCGAAACCAAACAAAAACCCCTTAAGTCCCCATACGGGGAAAAATGGAAAATCTGACTTCACAATTTACAAAGGTGGGGGATCCGCATGTGCAGTGCCTTCTAAATCCTCCAAAGATGGCCACCAACTCAACATTGCCTCGTCGAAGAAGTGCGTAATCGCAGAGGAGGCGTGAAACCGGACGTTCAGGCAATCACGAGTCGGCACTGGTGCGGAGGTGAGAAGACAAGACATTGTCATTTGGCGGGCAAGACTAGATGTGCAGGCTCGATACTCGGCTGGTAGACGGTGCCAGACATCGGGCCGGGAGAAGATGGAGCCCAGAGCGTAGGTGCGCCTATAGCTAGACGTCTGGCGAGCAAAAGCCGGCACACAGGAACGCAGGAGGTCCAGTTTTGCTTCAACGCTCGCAAAGTCGGGAGACTGGAAGTCCTGGAGAAGAAGGCCTAGCGGAGAACGCGAGGAAAAGGTGCTATTTCCAGGGCCAAATCCCGTACTTTTCCGTTGCGTGAGCAGACGACCGAAGAAATCCACATAGCACTTGCGACAATACAGTTGGCGCGGCGTGCGTGTGGGGAGGAGATTGGTGGCGACAAACCGGAAGAAACTCGAGTGCATACGTGGCGATTTGTCCCCTGCTGCCGTCTTCGGGGTATCTGAGTTGCAATGCTCAACAAGGGCGGCGAAACGTTTGGGCGAGGCTTCTGCGAAGTTGGCTATCCCAAGGACGATGAGGCCATCCTCGTCGGCGGTAAACAAGCCCCGTTGCCGTGGCGGAACCAGAGCCTTAGGTGAGGCCAATCCAGGAGGCAAAAGGTCAGGGTAGGGCCAGAGGGCACTGCGCAAGATATAATCCATCAGGAAGAAGGGCAGAGGGATAGAGGGTGTATTGAGCAGCTGGGCTCGATCCTCCGAAGAGCTACTAAAGCAGGGTAGGATACTGAGACCAGCAAACTCGTGCACAAACTTCCGTGTCTCATTCACAAGAGGCAGGAGATTGCGGATAGATGAAAGACTGGCGAGGAGGAGAGATGAACGATGGAGAGTGGCGTGGATCTGATCAACGAAAGTAGTGATGGGTCGACATAAAGTCTCCTCCAGATCTGAGAGATTTATGGTGGCCACAAATGTGCTTGCTAGGAGCTGCAGATGCATGCTGAGTTGACGTTTAACCCGATCTGCCATATCTAGGGTACTAAAGAGAAGGAGAGACGAGCGTATAAGTTCAGTCGCATAAAACAATGAACAACACATACTGACAGACAGCCAGATCGTGCAAACGCGAGCAACATAATAATCACTTTGTGATGGCTTCTCGGGCGACTGTTGACGAGTCAAACGCACATGACTTACATGGAAATGGGTTCCATGGCGGTTTCCGAGCCAAGGCAAGCGCTAGGAGACGCATTCGTAGTGAGATTTTGGTGAACCGAAGACGGCCGTTGTTCTCTTCCATGAGCCCTCTGGTTTGGCTCCTCGTCATCAACTTCCTCATCGTACTCCTCATCATCTTCCATGAACAGTTCGGTTAAATCACGGCGTAATTCCTGCGTGGTGGAAAAAATAACGATTGGATGGCTGAGCGTAGTGTCTTCGTCTTTATTCTCGGCAGCCTAGTGAGCATGGTGTCTTCGTCCGCCGCCAGCAAAGCACGTTTCGTAAGGAAATAAACCCCGAATAACTGAGACCAACAAACAGGGAGTCATAAAACACGGACCGGAATAATTAAATTAGCCCTAGATACCAAACATCTTTTTGGCCGGATTGTGATATTTATGGCTGCGGAACATCATCTTTGGCTAATACACACCATGTAGCATACTGCCTTACCATTGGATTCTCCCAAGCCTGCACTGGAATGTCAGCTGAAGCTGATGCATTACCCAAGCAGTACATGTTTCTCCAAATACTGGTATGTGTACACAGGTTGCATCCTTTTCACCTCAGAGGATAAGTGAATTTCGAAAGTGCTTTTTTGCCATGTAAAACGCTGATTTGACATTTGTAATTCAGAGCATAACGAAGCATTCACTTAGTGGGAAGTGCAATGTGGCGTTCGGAGGTTTCCTACGATCCACAAGGTCTTCTCAGGACGGAGAGCCGGGCTGAAATGGCTACATCTTAATGTGGTCCTTACGGCACCCCCACTCAGTTGGGATTCGAGCCGCCCCTTTAGTTTGTGTGAAGACCTGGTCCATCGTGCGCGAAGCAGGCGTAAGTGGCAGGCGTAGACGGATGTTTGGCGTTTTCAGCCACTACGTGGGATCCCGCCCCCAGTCTTCTTGACACCGGTATTAGTTAATTGAGGGAGGAAGGAGTGCGGTTAGTGAAGAGCAAGTTTACCATCACTAAAAACTAATTAATGCGCAATTCACCGTCACTGAGCCCATTATGCTGTGAGACAAACATTAGACTTCGTCGGCGACAGACAAACTGCTGTGTGTGATCCAAGACAAACGATTTTCATTATTGCATTTCCATTCTGTAGCTTAGTGTGTCAAGATGCCTCGTCATAGCAGCCCGAAAAAAGGCGTTGGATAGAGAAAACTCAAAAAGGCAGGCCGAAAGTCCTGAAAACAGGAAAAACTATAAAGGTACTCATATCTCGTCCTCGCTGACATGTGTTCGAATCTCACCAAGGCTGATGAGTTCTTCATAAATGGGTCAGCTGAGACCTATGAATTACCGAACTTTCCTACATAGGAAAGGCTAAACACATTTGAAAATTCAGAGTTGAGAAGGAACCTTAAAATAAGATACAAGTCAAGAGCATGAAGTAAACATTAAGAATTGGTGGGGGGACACATATTTCACGAACATATAAACACCGATCAGGCTAAAAGATTTGCTCTTTAGGTTGCCCCTGGAGTTTAATCTAGAGCCCTTCGTGTGTCTTCAACGTACGCGCAAATCGAATTCCTCCACAGATGTCTCAAAAGCCGTGTGCTACCGAAGAGTCTTTCCTACAAGCCGCCGGTAAACACAGGGCTAGCGAAGCAATGGGTGATGCAACATGGCAGGCGAATGACTCGTGTGCTTATCCAGGACTGTCATTTGCGGTTGCAGAAATACCGCAGAGTGTTGGACCAGGTAATTCCGAAGTGTTCGGAGCTCATCGGAGTGAACTATGCAGCAATCCTGAAACGAGTAATCGAAAACCGAGCCAGAGAACTAAGATCTAGACGAGATAGGGAGTTGAGACACAAATTCCAAAAATTAGGTCCAACAACGCAAGATCCCAGCGAGACACTGGTCCACAATTTGCCTTCCAAGGAACTGACGCCAGTGCAGCTTCGAGTGCTACAACATGCAGCATGCTTCAATACCGCGGACACCGATCCGGTTAACCTCTGGGCTAGCATCGAGTCGGTCCTCGAGCACTCCCAGGAGCCGGATGATGCAAAACATCTCATCCGACGGCCAGTTACGTCCTTACTGTTGGCGCACAAATCACGAGTAGCAATTCCGAAGGCGGAGCAAGACGCCCTCGAGAGACCGAAGGCTGACAGAAGCATTGTAGTATTGCCAGCCGACAAGGGACGTTCCACAGTAGTGCTCGACAAGTCAGATTACCTTCTGAAGGCCAACGCCCTGCTTGACGATCGTCTTGCGTACCTCAAGTGCGACGGAGATCCGATGAAGAAGCTGGTGGCACAAATCAACACGACGCTCGCTAGGTTACAGGGCAACGGTGCCATCTCAAAAGCAGAACGACTGGCCATTAAACCAACAGATTCGGCTATGGCGAGATTCTATGGGCTGCCGAAAGTGCACAAACCTGGTGCTCCACTTCGACCTATCGTATCTTTGCGCGGGACGCCTACATTCAACCTGGCCAAATGGCTGTTCCGACGTCTGAACTGTCTTACATCCGGCTCCTATACAACGGTCCGCTCAGCCGTATATTCCTTGGAAAGACTCCAGGGTCTACACCTTACTGCAGACGAAGTCATGGTATCATTTGATGGTACCTCACTCTTCACCTCAATTCCTCAGAGTCTGGCAATTGGAACTGTCGGCGATCTACTCGAGAGTCAATATGACAACGAGATCAATAGGCTTAGACGAGGGCACCTCATCCAGATGCTCAATTGTTTGCCTCAAGACCTACTTCACCTTTGAAGCAACGGTCTATGAACAAGTCAAAGGAACTCCAATGGGCTCGCCGCTGTCTGGTTTCATTGCTGAGGTGGTCCTTCAAAAGTTAGAGACGCCGGTGTTCGCAAACTACAGACCAATATTTTGGGCACGGTATGTGGATGATACCTTCGTCATCCTCAAGCGGGAGACGGTCTCCGAATTTCACACGATCCTGAACTCTGTTTTTCCGGACATCCAGCTCACAAGGGAGGCAGAAGTCAAGAAGCAACTAGCGTTCCTAGACGTCCTGGTCCACCGCAAAACCAACGGGAGCCTAAGAACGACAGTATACCGAAAGGCCACCAACACACGTCAGGTCCTCAGTTACTACAGTAACCACCCGTTGTGCCATAGACGTAGCTGTGTGCGGACTCTTTACAAGAGGGCGGAAACTCATTGCAGCGAGGCAGCCGACAAAGTAGCCGAACTCCATTATCTTCGGCGGATGTTCATCTCCAACGGTTACCCTCGCAGTTTCATTGAACGTAGCAGGCAACCAAAGAAGGCTATAAGGCCAACGAGAGAACAACCAAAAGTGCGGCGGGCACTACCGTATATCGAGAATGTATCCGAAGCAGTCGCTCGCCTCTTACAACCACCGGGGATCGGCGTCGCGTACAGACCTGAAGCGACAATAAGACGTCTCGTCATGAGACCCAAGACCCCTCAGTCACGAGGCGAAACAGCGAATGTCGTCCACCGTGTCCAGTGCAGTTCCTGTGAGGCGAACTACGTTGGAGAAACCGGAAAACGGCTACAAACCCGCATGAGTGAGCACGCAAGCGCAGTGAGAAGGATGGACCAACTCTCACTGGTGGCGGAACAGTGTGCTGCCTCTGGACACACTTTCGCCTTCCCAAACGCCGAAATCCTAGGTCGAGGTACCGACCAGACAGCCATGGAATTGCACGAAAGCCTGGCACACCGTAACAATTTCCATCAACCGCTGCACGATTCTCTCGACGGCTTACCAGGCCCTACGAGTTCGGTTCAATCAACGGAATCAAAGGCAGGAAGTCAGAAGCACAAGCCCAAGTGAACACAGTTCGCGCCCAAACACCGATGACGGGGGTCAGCAGGCCGATAAAGGAGACACAGGCAACGGGCCAGCAACCACCGAGGTGCACACGGGCAGATGCAAACGGGGGACAATTACGAGAAACGCGGGTCAGGCGCAACAAATGCGGGCAATGCAGACGAGGTCAATGACCGTTGCCATCCCGACACAGCCCACCCGACGAGGAGACGGAGGAAGGAACCGACCAGCACGACAGCAATTAACTTCTCCCCCCGCAGCAGATCCTGCACGAGTAGCAGTAGGAACGACAACACTCCCGCATGCTCACCCATAAATATTGTGAGGCGCCGTACAGAACCCACCTCCGACGATGGAAGCTTGTGCGCTTCTGAAACGTCAGGCTATTAAACCTATGGTTCCCGAGATTGCCTCTTCTTCTCAACGGAACGAGCATGTTCCGTAAACTGATCGGCGAGCGCCCACTGTCATAATATATATATATATATATGAATAATGGAGGTAGTATGCATTCCGAGGCGATATAATAAAAGGAGAAGGCTCGTCGGAAAATCGAGGTATACTCGTGAATTTTCAAGTCGGTTACACCAACCCGTCGTCAGACGAAAATGAAAAGTGTGAGGGAGATAATCCTACTGGGGAGTCAGGGGGACATCGACAAGACAGGCGTTTATGTGTGGGAGTGAAGAACGTGTTTGGATAGGTGGCGGACGTTAGGGGTGGTGTTGGGGTTTCACACATGGATTCAGCACCTCCCCCACAGAGTGAACCATGTGTGAAACCCCAACACCACCCCTAACGTCCGCCACCTATCCAAACACGTTCTTCACTCCCACACATAAACGCCTGTCTTGTCGATGTCCCCCTGACTCCCCAGTAGGATTATCTCCCTCACACTTTTCATTTTCGTCTGACGACGGGTTGGTGTAACCGACTTGAAAATTCACGAGTATACCTCGATTTTCCGACGAGCCTTCTCCTTTTATTATATATATATATATAGGCAGAATGATATTACCGACAAAGACAAGGGAGACTGGAATGGTCATTTCTAGCTTATTAGCCGTCGTCAGCCAGCCATACCCAAGCCCGAAGTGTGGAACACCCGAGCCTCGAACTCGAGACCTGCTGGTTTAGAAGTCAACGCCTCTACTCACCGGGCCACGAGCCCGTTGCCCTGTCGGTTTTCGATCGGGAATATACAATGTTAGGGGGCGCTCACCGATCGTTCATACGGAACTCACTCGTTCCGTTGTGCCTTAAGGGCTCTTTCTCGAGCCCAACCACCAGCCGCGCAGCGGCGCATGATATATAGGCAGAATGATATTACAAACAAAGACAAGGGAGACTGGAATGGCCATTTCTGGCTTATTAGCCGTCGTCAGCCAGCCATACCCAAGCCCGAAGTGTGGAACACCCGATTGAAAACCGACAGAGCAACGGGCTCGTGGCCCGGTGAATAGAGGCGTTGACTTCTAAACCAACAGGTCGCGAGTTCGACGCTCGGGTGTTCCACACTTCGGGCTTGGGTATGGCTGGCTGACGACGGCTAATAAGCCAGAAATGGCCATTCCAGTCTCCCTTGTCTTTGTCGGTAATATCATTCTGCCTATATATCATGCGCCGCTGCGCGGCTGGTGGTTGGGCTCGAGACAGAGCCCTTAAGGCACAACGGAACGAGTGAGTTCCGTATGAACGATTGGTGAGCGCCCCCTAACATTA